CAATGGGAGAAGTCCCAGACGGAGCAGTGAAAGGAAACTGGAATTGAGCGGAACTGCGTAGGAAGGCAAGGGCCAGGCTAGGTTAGGGTTAACTATAGACCAGTAATTAGTTTTAGGGAAAATGTCTGGGTTAGGTATCGATACAGTTACAAAAATGAATGGAAGTCAATACAAAGTCCTCAGTTTGATGCAAGTACAAATATATATATGTGTGTATGTGTGTGTGTGTGTACTGCTGCTTACCATGCCTGTTGTCAGAAGCATGAAAGAGGCAGAAGAGCAGAAGAGGAGCACAGACAAAATAAGAGAGTTCAGCCATTGCTTTGTCTGATATTAAACCTTCCTGTCCTCTCCTGTCAGCAGCAGCTGCAGTCCTCTTTATATTGACACTGGACAGCCGAGATCACGAGTCAGGGCCGGCTTCCAAGTAAAGAAAAACAAGAAATGATCTGGGGGTCAACAGTGTGTCAGGAAGGGATGGGTTTGGTATGTGGCAATAACCAGAACAAAAATAAATAAATAAATAAATAAATTCACCACCCAAAATATAAAAAACGAACAAAAAACCCTCATGACATATGTGTTTGTTAGCAAAATATCTCACGATCAACTGAACCATTTTTAGCATAACTGTGCCTCCACCACCGTTTAACTTTAGGAACCCAATAATTTAAACATGGCCGCCACAGCTAACCGACTTTTAAAAACACAAAAAACTGCTATAACTCAATCAGGTTTTTTTTCTTCAGATATTCACCTTAAATCTGGAAAGGCAGTAGCTGAGACTCATTCCCAACACACACTTTGAGTGTTCACAGATTGAAGAAACACAGTTCAAGTTGTTCGTTGCWGCCAGCTGATCTGTGAAAACACAAAACTGACTCTCCTTTTGCACAATATAGAGCACGTATGAAACAAACGTTTTGATTGGATGGTGAAATGCCACCACAGTTATCGTTCCTGCAAAAACTGGAAGTGAGGGGGAAAGTAATTTGAAAGAGGTAGGTGATGATGGCAAATCGTAATGTTGAAAATCGTGGACAACCAATGGACAAAATCCCTGAAAATTGTACCAGTCTGAGAGTATGTCCTTCTTCAGGTTGTTGGCGTTTGTGGCACTGCTGATGATAGCGTTTGTGCTGGAACTGTTGTTATATATGCATATATGCTAAAGTCAAAGCAAGCATGAAGCAACAGAACTATGGAGGGTTCATGTGCTGATTGAAAGAGGTGAAATCCTTCAGGCCTCTTGTGAATGTCCAGCAGGGTGAGTTAGTGGTTCTTGTCTCTGACTCAAGAGTCAGAAACAAACACCAAAACTTGCTGAACTTTAAACTGATCTGGTGTTTATTATTTATTAATGATTACACAATTTACTGTTTTACCTCAGAGTGAACTTGTGACTTGTGGTGAAGCGCATTGAGCCACAGCTTTCTTCTTGTAGCAGCTTTGCTCGACTTTCCTAGAGGAATTTGGTAAAAGGAGCAAACCTCTCCTTTATCTTTTACTCAGTCACGTTGCCTTGAACAATTATACAGCAGCACTAATCTAAAAATTTTGTTCCACTAGCCCTAAAACACTAACTCAAATATTTAGGTCTCCTAATTCTGAAGCACTAATACACTGAAAAATGTAGCAAAAGCTAATTCTAAAGCACTAAAATAACCCAGTCGACCTTTAAACATTCTTCAACAGACAACATGAGTCACATATTACCATGTTGCTCTCTGAAGTCTTATCACTGACATTCCACAGCTGTATTTGGGTTCATATATTGTCAACACATTGTCACCTGGTGGATAAGTGACACACATATTATAAACAAAATGTGTGGCAGCTTTCACCCGCAGCTGTTAACAATAACATTGATCAATAACATTTATAGACCTCAGTTAGTGCTTCTAAATTTAGCCTATAAATTTAGCAAGTGCTAATCCACTAATAAATTAAGAAATTAGCAAAAGCCCGAAAGCACTAATCAGGAAATTAGTTCCCCTATTAGTGCTTTAGGGGAACTGTGCCCACCACTGGCCACTACAAGTCACTTTTCCCCATTGCTATTGTTGGAAGGAATGTAAACACTCGACTCGCACACCGAATGATTCCCTCTTACTTCCGGTGAATGTGCGAAAACCGCGTGTGTGCATGTGTTATGACCAAAATRTGCAAAACATTTATTTGGTTATTTTGATCTTTATATGTTGTTGTTGCTGTGAGTCATACAGTATACAACATTTGCATGTCACTCCACTAGATGTTTTGCTTAAAACAGATTTTTTTGTTGTTGTTGCTTTGAAGAAAGGAAAGTAAGCTATTTTAGGAAATAAGAAATCTGCTGTAAATGGATATTTTTAGGCACCAAGTACGTTTCATGCTGAATTTAAAATGACTTAGTATATACAGTATTTGCACAGTACAAAGTTCAGAAACAACAGTTGTCATTTACTAGGTTTAACTCAGAATGATTCCTGCTCTAGTTGCATCATGTGTTCTTCTGTGTAAACAACTTACAAAGTTCGGGAATTGTAAAGTGTAAATATCCAGTTGTATTTTTATCATTTACCAGTACTTGTGTGTGTGTGTGTTTTTTTTTGTCTGTCTCCCCACAGAAAGTACATCCGGACCAGCCTTTTGTATTTGTCTGTGTCTCTTTCCTGAGCAACTTAAATTCCCAAAATAATTTTAAAAAGAAAATACTGATCAAACAAAGATGTCCACCATGACATCTTTGTTTGACCAGTCGGTAGAGCTGTTACCTTCCAAAAAAAAAAAAAAAAAAAGTTGCTGGGTTGAATCCCAGCCAAATCCCTCTCTGTGAGGAGTTTGCAGGTTCTCTCTGTGCATGTGGGAGTTTTCTGCAGGTACTTACATTTCCTCCCACATCAAAAACATATGTGTTAATTGGTAACTTGTCCGAGTGAGTGAATATTTGTTCGTTCCTATGCGTCCCTGTGATAAACTTTTGACCTGTCCAGGGTGTACCCTGCCCCTTCACACACTGACTGCTGGAGAGGGACACCAGTGACCCTGAAAGGAAGAAGCAGGTTAAGATAATGGATGGACCGTCAAGAAACAGAACCCTGAACTTCTGTCCACAACCATCAATGAATTGAAGCAAAATAAGTCAAAACTCCTCAAAAATGAAGTGACAGTTTGAAAAGGTCACAGCGGACTTTTACTTAAACTTATTGCAATAGATGGTTTCATAATCCATTGAATCACAGGGTGGATTCTGTTCTTTAAATCTGCTTCCTCTTTCAAACCATGCAATGTTTTTTCATGTAAAAAAATATATCTGAAAGTGTGCTGTCCTCAGCTGAAGTCCTGATAAACTTTGAGTTTAAAACCAGAAAACCATTTTAGCATGAGATGATTTATTTTATTATAAATGTGAAGGAAGGAGTCCTTCTACTGACAGGAAAGTGGTCCCAATAAAAACCTTAATTGTGTTACTGATCCCAAAATATTGCACTGTTTTTATTAGGGTGCACCTAAGAATTTTTGGARAAAAAAAATTAAAAAGAATTTTAAAAGCTAACACTTGAAGTAAATTCTCTTTGTTGACTTGTGCTCCATTTCCCATTATTTCAAGCACTGAACACAAGTGGAAAACAAGATAAACTGCATGTGTCTTATATTATGTTAAAAGAGAGTCTGTGTAAGTATCAGGACACTGTAAAAACTGAAACAGCTATTGTTTTCTGATGTCATTCTGAATAACTCCCAATCCTCGAACTATCTTCTCCACTGACTCTGATCACCCTTCCATCTTCATGTCTCAAAGCTCGCCTGAAACTTGTAAGACGTTCCTGTTTGACGGGAGTTTTTCTGTGAGCCTTGGAAATTCTTTTTCCTCCTCAGCGCCTCTCAGGCGTTCCCCAGGGATTTATTCTTGGTACCATTATATTTTCCATGCTCCTCTTAGGCTTTATGTTCGGACGTGCTTTCTTATTTCTACGCAGATGTCACCCAGATATATCTTCAGTAAAAGTGCAATCATTCTTTAATAAAACCACAGTTTGACTGCCTCACTAAGGTAAAATACTGAATGGCTTCAAGATTTTTAAACTTCAACACTAAAACTGAAATTATTTTCTTGGACCCAGTGTTAATCACAGTGCTTCTCCCATAGCTCTAGATATCTTAGAGCCATCTGTAAAATCTCATGTCAAATATTTGGAGGTGATATTTGATTYAAATTTAAATCAGTTTTACCCTTCAAAGACTTTTAACGTGTGATCCATGCTTTTATTACATCTTCACTGGATTATTGTGACTCTCTGGTGTTCCCCAGGCTGACCTCTCATGACTGCAGCTAGTTCAAAATGCTCCAGCTCGTCTTTTAAAACAAACAAAAAAGTGTGATCATATCCTCCTGGCTGGCTTACCTTCAATGGCTCCCTGTTTGTTTTTGAATTGATTTTAAAGTTTTATTGATGACGTATGTGGTCCTGAATGGACTGGCTCCTGTATACATGTCTGACCTCCTGCGGTCTTATATCAGTGGTGCCTGCAGAAATGGCACTGGAAAAACAGGGGTGGCACACCAAAACTAAAATCCATAACAAAAATTTTATGATACAGCTGTAAAACGACAATTTGAAAACTATGGCAACATAAGAGTTAAGGATTTGCCAACAGATGTTCAGCTTTTCATTTTACAAATAATATTACTGATAATTCAATTCAATTCAATTCAACTTTATTAATCCCAAAGGGAAATTAGATGTTGCTGTAACTTATATTATCCTGCTTTCTTTAAAGAGTTGTTGTAAATACTGATGGCTGTGGGCAGGAAGAATCTCCCGTACTGGTCCGTCTTACAGCAGATCTGAAAAAGTCTCTGACTGAAGACACTCTGTTGTAGAACAACAGTCTTATGAAGAGGATGCTCAGTGTTTTCTATCATATGATCTGAAAGCCAATCTCTGGTTGGGTTTTTGTTAGGGCCTGGAGTTCATCCATCTTGTTCCCCAACAATCTCACAATGTCAATCATGGTTGATGGAAGAGATGGTTTGAACTTCCTCCTTCTTTCTCTACTCTTTCCTCCTGGTCTGCATGCACAGTGCCTCCTTTTCAACTCATCTTGGATTCAGGACTGCCTYATTGTGTGGTGTCCAGAGACCAGAAACAAGAAACAGAAACTATCTGCACTTCTACAACATTCCAGTTCTATTGTGTTCTGTACTTTACACATGAAGTACCATGAATTACATTATTATTAGAAGTTTTAGTGGGATTTTTTTTTTTTTTTTTGGAATGAAGTAGATGCCATTTCCTGCATTCTGGTGTTTTTAACCAGGTTGACAGATTTTTACCTATATAAGAAAACACTTGGGTGTAAGTATTATATAAATATAGTGGAATAAAATTGTTTGTCATAGAAACAACACTGGGTGAACTAATATTTTATGGTAAATGTGAGGGTTCAAATGAATTAAATTTTAAATGTGATTGGGACACTTCCCTTCCCAAATGATTTTCATGATGCCTGTCATTTTATTTGAAAAAGACAAAATATACATTTTAAAAACATTTACAAGGAACACACTTTCTAAATTTTAAAGCAACCTCTATGTAATGTATGTTAAAACAGTTTTATTTGCTCGTTGATGTTTACTTTTGTGAACAAAAACTGTAATTACGAATAACCAATACCCGAAATAAAGACTAAAAAAGCACTATTACAAACTAACATCTACTGTAGTGTTATTCCAAGTTGTTCTTTTATTAGCTTTTCATGGCATATTATTTTTAATAAATACTGTATGATTTTGGTCTGTGAGAGAAAACTAAAGTACCTGGAGAAAACCCACTCATGCACAGGGAGAACATGTAAACACAACCCAGGAAGCTGATCTAGCAACCTTATTCTTTAGAGGCAACATGTTGCTCTACCAAATGTCAGGGGGAAACAATTTTTTTTTTGGTGGAGGGCATGCCCCTCTGCTGGCACCCCTGCCTTATATGCCCCCAGATCTCTCAGATCTACTGATCATTTGGCCTTGATCTCTCAGATCCACTGATCATTTGGCCTTGGTTTCGTGGTCCAGACTGGTTCACAGAGGTCATCGGGCCTCTTCAGTTGTGGCTACTAAACTGTGGAATCAGCTGCCCCCTCACATCAGACAAGCTTYAACTCTCACTTTTGAAACACATCTGTTTTCAAAAGCCTTTAAATCAGCATGAGAGTTGATTTTGCCATTTCTATGGTTTGTTTTGATGGTTTACTATACCTATTTTGTTTTTATTGTCTTTCTGGTTTGCCTTTTTATCATTTGTAATATGTAGAGCACTTTGCTGACTTTGTTAATGGGTATGGAATGCATTTATTTAACGAGTTAATATACTGCACACATAGGCATCAAGATATTCAGTAATTTTTGGTTTGTGACCTGACGTGTTACAAAATGTCTGAACTGAGTAAAAGACCAATGACATCTGCACAGGATGATAAATTCTTACAAGACCAAAAACCTTCAAGACCATCAGTGAAAAAAATACAGAAAGATAAATATGTTCTAGATTAATCAGAGGATTATGCAATATTTTCCTTGTTTTACATATAATCTTGTCCTAAACTCACTGCCAACTGTCTGCAAACACAGACAGTTTTTATAAATATTTACACTTTTCTCATCATTGACTGGATTTTAATACATATTTATTTATTTTTATCTAACCTTTATTTCAACAGGCAAAACATTAAGAACAGTTTCTTATTTACAATGTTAGCCTGAATATGATAAGAGTAGGCAGACAGTTATCGTTGGATACGACTGATCAAGTTTTGGAGTCAATCCCACTGGTCAGATTACAATGAAACTTTAAAGAAATTATTGGATGTACATTTTCAACTGACTGATATTTGAAGTCATGTATTTCAAAATGGCCATCACACAAACAAATGTAACTTACTCAAAATTACAAATAATGCAGTAAAGTACATGCAGTGGTCTGAGAGTCATCCTCAACACATACAGTATTTAACTTATATTTAAGCAAGAAGTCCCATTGAGATTAAAAACCTCTTTTACGAGAGAGACCTGGAAACTCAAAACGTTTGTGTTTTTTTCATTTTTTTCTTTTTGATAGATGATTTTTTTTTCAGATTTATTTGCATATTTTTAATTG